GTTTATAATCAGGTAATCATTATTATTACAAAATATGATTTTTATAAATGTATTAAAATATCGCCTCTAAATGGCTATACAGTGTCGACAATTAAATGCGGGGTACAGGAGGTCGACACTAGACTGAGCACCAAAGATAACAAACTATACTTTGGATATAATTAGTGTACAAATTGTGTAGATATTTGTTTAAAAAATAGATTCAAAAAAATATAATTTATTTATTTACAAAATATTACAAATAGATTGTATTTATATATAATGTGAAGAATAAATATCAGAATTTTGTGTGATTTTTTTAGTTGTAAATTTCAAAGAATATTCTGTAATATTTGACAATCTATTGTTTAAAGTGATAAAGCGTTGCAGTAGTAGTTATTCTTGTAATTATTTAAATGCCATTCAAAAACATTAATCCTGTTTTAATCTCTTGAAAAACAAGAAAAAATAAAATGATTGATTAGATTGTGAGCAATAGAGTAGGAGATAATTGTGCCAAATGTCTGTTACAATTATTTCATTGGGTAAACACGAAACGTCTGAAATTTTCACATAAGTCTCAAAATTTATTAGACTTTTGAACGCGTGTTTACAATAATCCTACAATTATTGCAATTATTATTATAAATATATATTTATTTTATTTTTGAGATCGATTTTTCAAAATTATAAAAACATGTTTTTGTAATCTAAGAATATTTTAGTTTTTAAAGTAAAATAATTAATTTAATTGCAAATTAGTTTTTAAATTTGTTAACCTTTTATGTTATTTATGATCAAAAAATTCTTAGACAACAATATTCTACAGAATCTTCTGCAATAAAATCAGACATTCAATGAACCAATGCTTTGAATGAAATACTATTTGAATGCAAATTCTTAAGACACTTCGAAACACGATCTCATTTGGAGATTAAAACACACTTTGTTTGACTTTTCGAGACATTTATAGTGTATTACAACTGTATTATTAAAACGTGAAATCAATGTGTAGTTACCCTCCGAACCAAGAATTCAATCACACATTCATTTGTATGCGTTCTCTATGTTAGCAATGAAACCGATATTCAAGATATTCCTCAACAAAAACAGACTCTTTTTATTTCCAGTCATAAAAGAGATATTCATTTTTAGACTCCACTCTTTCGCTCGACTCCCACACACTTTTACGTCAAATATCTCGCATTCTTTAACACTACTATATATACACTAAAACATTGCAGAATTGTTTATATATATATATCAAAGAATATACAATTATATATATTTTTATAGATATTTTCATAGATATATTCTCTATAATAGTAAACACGTATAGCATTGCAACAGAAGTTTGAAATATTAGCGCACTTTTCATAACTTAATTAAGTATGAGATTTAACAGAATTTTATTTTATTTGTTTTGTGCATTAATTTAATGCTAAGGAATGAAAACCTTTTTAGTTATTTTTTACGATATGTTTGTTTATATGAATGGCTATAATAAGCGGGGAATTGAAAATTAGGGAATAATGTCATGGATTTCTATTTCTAATCGTCAAAGAATCGGAAAAATAAAGAGTTAAACAAAAAAAACATATAATTCTGTTTAAACAACATCTAGAATTTTAAACACAGTATTTCAATACAGTACACCTAATTAAATTAGACACTACTGTTGTTATATACAAATAAACTAAATGCTAAGATCTACACTATAATTGATACTGGTCAATTTTCAACCAACTTTCAATTGCATTAAGTTATATTAGTTAGTATCCAATGAATTTATATTTGAAATTTTGTAAATAAGTTGATTTATTAGCTTAAAAATTACTTTATTTTATTTATGTACCGAAAAAAAGAAACCCAAACCCCGATGAAACTGAGGGTCGAAGCCCAGGGACAGAACAGGCCGTTGCATACGGTGGAGGCTATGGCCCCGAAGCAGGGATGAGCACAAGTGCCAAATCTTTGACTGAACACGTGCTCAATCGGATGACAAGCACTGAACAGACCTACTATTCGGCCAATAGTATGGATTACACGACGAGTGCCAGTCCTTCATCGCCTACACCTCCGCAACAGATTTATGTTAAGGAAAGAGAGAGTGAGTGCTCTGTGTTTGTCACACATAATCAGATCTCATGTTATCGACACATCTTATTTGATAACTCATTGATTGATTTGTGTCTTATTTCCCCACAAAGTGTACGAATATAGAGAATACAACTCATCGCCGACGCCCTATAAGAGCTCGCACTCACCCACACATCAAAAGCCCCCTCCAGTGGCCACCGGACGGCCGTTCACTCCAGAGGCAGCGCTAATGTCGCCGACGGCTCACATCAGTTACCATCAGCCAGAAGAGCAACAGTGGCTCTCATCGCAAGACTCGCGACCGCACGACCCGCGCGTGTTTGCCCTCTCGCCTCAGCCGCCGCCGTCTCCGAGTCCTGTAGCCAATCAATCGGGCGGTAAAGACACGCGAGTGTTTGGTATGACACGGCCTAAGGGACAGTCACCGTCGGCCAGTCCGACACAGCCTCCAACTAATGGCATCTCCACGTCTGCCACTCCCAGTCCCGTACAAGATATCAATCAACACAAACAGATGCCCCCTATAGTGAGTCCGCCTCCAATACCGCCCCATCGCATACCCGCCGGACCGCCCGTTCAGGATCTCAAACAGTTAAGTTTCGATGAAATACAGCGACAAAGCCAGCGGCCATCGGATCAGTCGTCGTCACCGCAAGACAAACAATTTTACGCTCAAAACCAAAACAAAAAAGCGGACACTTTTAAACACCACGGCATCGATCGGCCAGTGATCGGTCGTGTAGTCAACGATCAGCGGGTTTTCGCTCAAAACTCAGCTTTAAAACTGCAAAGACTCGGATCCAGTGGCGGCCAAACCCCGCACTGGAAGACACCTTTGCCGCAGATGAATGTGGGCCGACCGGAGGTGACACAACTGTTGCCGTCGCAGACCCGCCGACAACAGACATACATCGTTCAGACGCCGCCCACCGAACGCAACGCTCGTCCGCCGCCCACCGGCACTCTCAGGCGCCGCATTAGACCCGTGTGGCCGCCGCCAGAATGGACGGGACGTCATATCCCTAAAACTGGCTTTGCCTCCAGCGGAAGGGGTCTGTATTTATGGTGAAAATATGCATTAATACATGTATTAATTGGTGTAAATTGTCTGATATGTGAAGACTCGCCGACCACTCGATACGATTGGCCGCCCTCGAGGTCGGGCTCTGTGGACCCCGACGGTGGAACCTGTTCTCCGCGGATGCGCTTCTCGACGCCCCCTCCCGGCCCTCTTCAACACTCGTGGAACCCCCGAAGCGGTTCCGTTACGCCTCCCGGTTCTCGATCCTATACACCGACCCGACGCGTCCAAAACACGGCGTGGCCGCCACCCAGTAATTATTACCATCTTGTTTATATTGTCACTGATATTGATGATGCTAAATATTTGTGTGTTTGTCTTAAGGTAATGCCACGCCGGCTGGTGTAGTAGGTATGCGAGTTGTAGCCCAATCACTGCCGGGCTCTCGACGAGGCTCTGGTCAGGCGGACGACTACTATGTCTATGCCATCAGCACAAGAATACCCCAAACATATAGACCCCCTCCGCAGACACAGTATACCGAACCCACCTATCATTACGACACCGACTGATGACCAGACAGTCGTGTTTGACAATCGCTTCTTAGGACTAAATAATGGATATCTAATGAAAAATGAAATTTTATGGCAACAAAATTTTATATGAAATGTATTTTGAAAGATAATTGATTTTATTGTTATTGTTTTACTATATAATTACTTATCAATTAATTAATAATTAATTGTTTATTCATTACATTAATTCATTAATAAGTTTATTAATCAGAAAATTTATTGTTAATTAATTATGGGTTTCATAAATCAGTTATTTTCTCAAACCTTTGTTTTATTGAGAAAAATTAATAAATCTTATAATAAGTTATATACAAAACTCATTCAAATATAACACTAACGGCGAGAGTAAATGACATTAAATATATAAATTTATCATATTTTAGATATGTTTTAAATTGAGTTTCACATAACAGTAAATAAGTTTTTTGGTTGTTTTTGAAGTAATAAAATACTTTTCACAAAGTTTTGCTCATTTATTTAATTATAGTTAATGTTGTGATTATTAAGAGTCTAATAAATAAGTTATGTTATAGTATTAGCAATAAAATTATACATAAAATAAACACCAGGATATAAATATAAAATTGTTTTGCTTTAATACCGATAATTGCTATTAAAATTTACACCTAATAATTGTATTATAAAATTACACACTATTAAAAATTGTTGAATAAATAAATAAATATGCAAATAATAACAATGTTATGTACGATACATGTGTTTTCAAGTCATTAAAGTTAATCAGATATTTAATGTTTTAATTCCTGGATGGAGAGAGAGAGAGAGAGAGCCAACCCTAACCCGGGCTTTAGCTCCTAAAGGATTAAGTTGTATGGAGTAGTGAACGAGCGTTTCGTTTGGGATGTTGTGTATGTGTGTGGAGGGGAANAGAGAGAGAGAGAGAGAGAGAGAGAGAGAGAGAATTTGTTGTACAACTAATTTTTATCAAACATTTGATAAGTAAAACAATATTCAAAAGGCAAAAAACTTTTAAAATATGAACTCTTTTTGCCACTAATTAACTGTCAATGAGGTTGTGATGGGAAACGATTGAAACAACTCTCGATTGAAAGGTTTTTTATGTGAGAAAATGATAAATATTTATATTGATTGCAAATACAACGACACTCTCAATGAGTATTTCGTTAACAAACAACAAAACTATTTTAGTTTCGTTTGAAAAATGAAATTAAATATTAGTTTTCGCTTCATTTCGCAAAAAATCAATGTTAAACCTTCGCGTGAGAGAGAGAGAGAGAGAGAGAGAGCAAACAATATGCAAATAGTTTGGCGAAATGCCCTCTCAATATGGGGGTTGGGGTACGACTTGTGAAGCCGTTATTATCTCAATGTCTTTCCGACTTTCAAACATACCATTAGTTTTATATGTCTTAACATCGAAAGAGTGAAACAAAAAATTACTGCTTATTCTGTAAAATGTAATTTTAGACCAAATATTCGGATCACTTTTGTGTTGTGTTTTAAACCCCTTATTAACGCATAATTAAAAACACTGTTGACTATAACGGGACACTTGTTGTAAATATTTTTTGACACAATTTAGTGTCAAAATATTTTTTGATATCAATTTTATGTCGCCTTTTGATAAGTGGGTCTTTATTTTGCGGCAAATTTAGTGGTAAACAGTTATTCAAAGTTTTCAACCAAATCTATGTACGGATGCCTTATGTATTAAAATTTAGATAAACATCACTTGTATTTAACATAAGATATATTTCAATTGATTTTGACCTTAATTACCAGTTAAAATATAGACATCTAGTTAAATATAATAGTGTCCTAGTGCTTAATTCAATAGCGATTAGTTAGCATTATTAATATAAAATGTATTTAAATTTACAATTTGTTACAAACATTTGTTGCAAACTAAACACAAAAACAGCAAACTATCGTTAATAACACAATAATCAAACACTGAAAACGATAATTAAGACAATTGTTATGTAAGATTACAAAAAAAAATCAAAAATATAAACCATAAAAGTTTGGCAACAAATAAAAAATAATTAGCAAAACTTTCAAACTCTGCAAATTCCGGACTCTATGTGTGTTTTCACTTTTCATATAACATATAAATACAAAGTATACGCAAATGATTTTTAACGATGACGTTTTACACCACCACTACTACAATACATGCTCTGTCTCTATATGTTTCGACATCACTATCGCAAACATCCCGGTCTATCCGTTCCCCTCCACACACATACACAACATCCCAAACCAAACGCTCGTTCACTACTCCATACACTTAATCCTTTAGGAGCTAAAGCCCGGGTTAGGGTTGGCTCTCATCATCGCGTTTGCTGTATAGACGGGAGGCATCGCATCACTCATTCACTCTGTGTTTATATATTGACAACGAATTTATTTTAGAGATTATCGCAGAATATAAAGAATTTGTTGTCTTCTTATTGGGTGTCTTCGTGTGTGTATTGTTTGTGTGGAAAGTGTTCGGCGTTTTCATCGATACTAACGGCGAGACTTCCGGGGCTGAGGCTATGGCGAGCGGACAGCAAACCACCATTAAGTTGATGAGAGGCGACTCCGGGTCCTCCTGGGGTTTCCGACTACAGGGCGGCAAAGATTTCGCTATTCCTCTATCAGTGGTTAAGGTATGAATTTTTGTGTTTTTTCGCTTTTGGTTTAATTTCTTTTATTTGTATATTTGATTGAATTCTTATTGGAATTTATATTTATAAGTCGGTTATTACTTATGTTTATGTTTAATAAGTTGTAAAGTATAAAGTACTTTATAAATATTAATACTATCGATATAAATTGAAATTCATTATAGTGATCGTGATTATATTGTGTTATAGTCAATTATATTGTCAATAGTTATAAAATGTGTTAAGTTACAAAATATTTTACATGTATAAATAGTTTGATAACGTGTTAACAATAAGTTTTATAATAAGTAAAATAATTTTTATTGGAAAATAGCGTAATTTTAGAGTTAATAATTTTCCACTAATTTATTGATTAAAATAATGAGGAAATTAGAGTAAAATATGGCAAATATGCGAAACACCTGTCGGTTATATATTATGTGAAAACATTTATTATATTTTTTTGCTAATTTTCAAAACCACAACAAAAAGAATTTATATATATTTGTGTGACTCTTATATCACAACAATTTTTTTGAAACAAAAAATAACTTTCATTTGTTTTGTATATTGAGATAATATTCATTAGCATCACCGTTTAAATTTACGCAAATGCGTAAACCGTATAGGAATTATACATTATAAATGGGGGGTCGTATATTAAATGCAACAGTCTTGTTCATTAGTATTTTGATGGTAGAAGTCATGGCCCTATGTTTTTGGCACTTATGGCTTGAACTCAACAGGAGTTTGAATGTCACAAAACTCTAAATAATAAATCTCTCTCTCTCTCTCTCTCTCTCTCTCTCTCTCTCCCACTTTGACGCCGAGAAAAGTGTTCATTTGACTCAAAAATCACACTTTTCTATCGATTTAGGGGTTAAATAATTGTCAAAAATGTTTGAGTGGTTTATATATGATAGTGAACTGTCAGACTCATGAATGCCGTGAATTATACTTCAAAACTCGTTAAAACAATTCCTGTCGTTATATGAAAATAAATTCTTGTGTTTTAAGTAAAAAGAAAAACGTAAAAATTAAAAATAAAGCTATTTTTTAGTATTAAATTCAAAACAAATAAATACGAATAAATTTTTACAGAAAAACATACGGAAAACTGCATAATAAATGGCAAATTAGTTCTTAAAGTGCAAAAAGTGATCACAAAAATAATTTCTGTGTGTTTTTTATCCCACAATTCAAATTTGTGAAGAGAAATATCTGCAAGAATTGTGTTATGTTTTGCGTTTAATAGGTTTTTGCAGACTTAAGCATTAAAACATACAGAGAGACTACCAGAGAATCTAAATGCAGTTTAATATTACTGTTATAACCAGAATATTCAGTATATATTATACATGTATGTATGCGTATATGTGCTATAGCTATAGCTTGTAAATACCGAGCAATCATTTGGCACAACATTATAATGTCTTCAGTCCTGTTACCATCTTTGGCATCGCAGAGCACACCCTCTTTTACACACGACTAAAACAAACGCTTTCTCCACTTTTACTAATCTCTCTCTCTCTCTCTCTCTCTCTCTCTCTCTCTCTCTCTCTCTCTCTCTCTCNAACACAATTCTTGCAGATATCTCTCTCTCTCTCTCTCAATATTTATCTATTGCTTTACTATTAAGATTTTTCTGAAAATTCTAGTTATTAGACAATAATTGAAAACTAAAATACCCGTAAAACACAGAATCACACAATCATTATAATCTTAATCAACACTCATTTAAATAAGAAGTTAGTGAATATATGAGCCGACAATTAGTTGCAGTATTCAATCAAATTCTCTAATTTTTGTGTTCAAATTGAACTGTTATTACGAGCGTATAATATATGGGATATTAGGCCTAAAAATATGTCGCGACTATTATTAGGTGAATGGGAACAGTTTGGCTGCTCAGGGAGGTCTTCAGATCGGAGATATAATTGTCAAAATCAGTGGCAATAGTGTGGATGATATGCGACACAAAGAGGCTCAGGAAGCCATCTATAGGGCCGGTAATTATCTGGAGATCACTATACAAAGGTTTGACAATACATTTGTCTCTCAAACTCATAGAATAATTACTAAAAAAAATATATGCATTAAATTTAGAGGTGATATCAATACGTGGAGACCTACTGTAACACCAGTCGGTAACACTAGACCCGGTCAACAGACTTACACGAAGACATCATTGGAAAAGCCACAACAGGTTAGAGCCCGGAGTTTATGAGACAGAGATTTCCCATAATTCGTATTTAATGTTATAAAATGAAATTTTTTAAATATTAAATCACAGAATTCAACGCCAATCGGAAGTGGATATAATGCAAACGCTAAGCCATTCACCGGCAGTCCAAACATACCATCACTGGTTCACAAGCAATACAATTCACCCGTCAATCTATACTCCGAGAAAAATATCGCCCAAACACTGGAAGCGCACACAGAAGTGCTCACATCGGGTGCCCTGGGGTTTGCATTAATTTTTTCTTTCTGTGTTTTTGGTTTATTTAATGCCTGTTATAATCGCTACAAAACTGAATATTGTTTACCGTATAAATCATAGCATAAACTTCATGAGACCGGACGCTCCCATCAATAAGGAGTCTGCAGTCTATCAGATGGTTCACGACGAAGAGGTTAGGAAAGCAAAGGGTATGTTAGATATCTTAGGCATACATACAAGTGCTTAAAACACTCACAACAACAACAAAAAAACTAACTAATCATTCATTCGGAGGATTAAGTGATAGAAAAACGACGAGTTATTTGAAAATATAAGAAAAGAGTTATGACAGAGAAATATAACGTTTAAAAAGTCAAACACTCGTCGTGTAAATCATTGGATTGTTTCACCAAAAGAAAGAGTAAAACATTAAAAGTGCGATAAAAAACCAAAACATGGTTTTTAATATTATATAAATCTGGAGTCTATTTTAAAGCTCACAAAGTGTTTGAACTAATAATTTGAAAAAAATCCAAAACTCATAATGAAATGCAAGAATAAATGAGATGATGTGATGGATGAAAGGGTTGTACCACTTAATTAAGCTGTAGTCATCTCTCTCTCTCTCTCTCTCTCTCACTTTGACGCCGAGAAAAGTGTTCATTTGACTCAAAAATCACACTTTTCTATCGATTTAGGATTTTGCATCTCTCTCTCTCTCTCTCTCCACCCTTTCAGCGAATAGCAAATTATGGTTTCTCTCATGCAATCAATCGTTTGAGAGTTTTTAAAAACTATTTTCTTCGTTCATGTGTTTTGTGATATATGTTTGAATTCGTGTAATCTTTGAGTTTAGTTAAGATTTCACTAAATCTCAACACAAAGTTTGCGGTTTCGTTAGAATTGGTTTTTATTTTTAAACTTTTTATTTTTGGATTTGATTTGCTATTGATATCAATAGAGAGAAAAAATATTGAAAGTAAAATATTACGAAACACTTGGAATTTATCTTATATTTTATTATAAACATCATATACACAGTCATGTCGTATAGTGTACTCTCCTATCTATACAATGTATTAACATTTGGCCGATTGCCTCCTTGTATTCAAACAATACATTTTACATGATATTGGTTTCAAATATCCCCATCCTTTCAGTAATTTTAGTGAACATTAATATATAATTAGTAAATATTTTAATTTTTTTAAAACACTAACCAAGGTATTTAAAAAGGGTTAAACTTTAAAGGGTTAAAGTCATTCAACTTGGTAAACAAAAATATTGTTGTCTTGCTTATTTTTTCGCTCTTTATAAAACGCTTAATGCTATTTTGTATTTTTAATGATGGGATAACTGAGCTAATAGTTAGTCAAACACTGATTTAAGCGCTAATAAATCTTCAAACGACAGCTTTTGTTAAAAGCAAAACAAAAATTATTTCCTCTCATATGAATGAACTGTTGTTTCCATCAGTTTTTTTTTTGCTGTTTTTGTATTTTGTTTGTTATATAATTTTATGCTTAAGTATCCGACAAATCATAGATATGTTTATATATACCTCATCCTGAGTTCACCACTTTTTCTCCCTTTAAATAGTTAAATACTTGAGATATAATGTTTAATATATACCAAAATATCTTCAATTGTAAACGTAATGAGTTTTGCTTTAATTTCCTTTCAATTACTAAAAACAGTTAATTACAGGACTAAACATTTTTTATCACATTTCAAAATCAGGCAAAATTTGAAGCGATTATAAGCTAAACAAAAGTAACACTTAATATATTAAGTGCTGATTTATTTTTGATTTATGTTTTTTAAATGAATAAATGTTTCCAAAAATACATTTCAAACAAAACATATTCCGCTATAAACTTAAACCAGAAAATTGTCATAAAAATACACAATATTAATGTTAAGATGAAAAAAAAATCCAATAATAGACTGTTTAAAGTGCTAGATTGATAAAAAAAATATATAATTTATACATTACATACAGAATATTCTATATACGAAATGTTAACACTAATGCAAACATACAAACATAGGAGAATCGGGGGCCGCCTCGAAGTCAGTCTCGCCAGATGTCCATCACTTAAGAAATACAGAGACAACGAGCACTACGACGACCACCACATACGGCACCCGACACGTGGAGGCGCCCATCGATAGGCCGGCGTCCGAACGACAGGACAGAATCAACCAAAACATATGCTCGGAGTGCGAGAGATTGATTGTGTGAGTAAAACGCCGTGCCTTTCACTCTCACACCCACTCAGTCACCAAACTTTAACAAATATCTCATGTTTTTAACGTTAATTACGAGAATGTTTTTTGAATTGAAAATACACCAGAATTTGGATTTAGATAAGAGTCGAGGATTTAATGAACGAACCAATTATACGATCATTAATAATAAGTTGTAAAAACGCGCATAAATAATGTTTATTTTTTAATTTCATAACTCTTGATTAATTAAAACAAATAATATTTCTTGCTTTTAATTCTTGGCATTTCATGCGAGAAAACAGTGGCTGAGAGTCAGTCAAAACATTTGCCATAAGAAAACATAATGCCTGACAAAAACTCATAACACAGTTGTTAACAAAACTAATATTTTTAGATGAGTTAACAGAATTGATTGATTGATAGCAATGATTACATAATGAATATACATATTCCGTGTCTACATATTAGGGGTGTATTCGTTCGCGTGAAAGACAAGTCACTTCACGCCGAGTGTTTCCGTTGCGCCACTTGTGGCACATCACTGAAAAATGTGGGCTATTTTACCATCAATGAAAAACTCTATTGCGATATACACGCCAAACAAATGGCCAGTCTTATCACACCGACCGGCAGTATTTTACCGGTTTCGCCCCAAAATCAGTAAGTGTTATAGTTTTTTTTGGCGTAACTTCTGGTTGTTTACATGAAATTCTGCAAGAATTGCATTAAATTGTGTGTCACTTCCCATTCAGAATGAACAACAATATCGGCCCAAATGTGTCAACCAATTCATTAGGCGTTCCGGCGCTGAATCGTGTCGTGCCTCAGAGCGCGCCGCCGAGCGCTGGTCCCGTCCCATACCATGTGAGTGACCATACATTCAATTATGCATTCATTTTTCCTTATTATAAGTGTGTGAAGAATAAAATTTGAAAAGTATATTAGTTTTGAGATTAGGACGAGTTGTTTATTAAACTTTTAAAATAGTTTTTTAGTTTTTATACACATTTTGTCACTTATTTGAAAGAATCATCTGTTCACTTTATGGACTATTTTATCATAATGTTTAATCTCTATCATTCTATACTAGTATTTATCATCTTTTTTGCATCTCTCTCTCTCTCTCTCTCTCTCTCTCTCTCTCTCATGAAAGACAAGTCACTTCACGCCGAGTGTTTCCGTTGCGCCACTTGTGGCACATCACTGAAAAATGTGGGCTATTTTACCATCAATGAAAAACTCTATTGCGATATACACGCCAAACAAATGGCCAGCCTTATCACACCGACCGGCAGTATTTTACCGGTTTCGCCCCAAAATCAGTAAGTGTTATAGTTTTTTTTGGCGTAACTCCTGGTTGTATACATGAAATTCTGCACGAATTGCATTAAATTGTGTGTCACTTCTCATTCAGAATGAACAACAATATCGGCCCAAATGTGTCAACCAATTCATTAGGCGTTCCGGCGCTGAATCGTGTCGTGCCTCAGAGCGCGCCGTCGAGCGCTGGTCCCGTCCCATACCATGTGAGTGACCATATATTCAATTATGCATTCATTTTTCATTATGATTAATATAAGTGTGTGAAGAATATAATTTGAAAAGTATATTAGTTTTGAGATTAGGACGAGTTGTTTATTAAACTTTTAAAATAGTTTTTTAGTTTTTATACACATTTTGTCACTTATTGAAAGAACATCATCTGTTCACTTTATGGACTATTTTATCATAATGTTTAATCTCTATCTTTCTATACTGTACTTGTATTTATCATCTTTTTTGCCTCTCTCTCTCTCTCTCTCTCTCTCTCTCTCTCCTTTCTCTTTGCTCTCTTCCACTCTCAGAGTACTCAAGGAGTACATCAATACAACTCTACTTCAAGCACTCAATACTCAAAATACTCGTCAGTTCCCCCACCAGTCGCTCCAAAGCCGGCGGTATTTAAATGCCTTTCGCTTTCAATATAAACACGAAAACACTTTTTTTGTTCATTTAAATAAATTTTTTATTTCAAGTCCTAAAAATAGATTGATTTTTAGCCTAAGATTACACACAATGTATTGCTTTCAATACACAAACACACACTCTATCTCTTCTCTTATTGTTTTTCAACGAATAAAAGTATTTTTATTTATAGTTTAAAAGTAATTCAAACCCGAGCGCCGGTTCGGCGCCCTATTATGGCAACTCATACGGCGCCGGCCATCCGGCCGATGGCGGACAGCCCGATGGCTACCGACCCTTTCACGGTATATAACACATTAGCACTTAACTAATTTGTGTATATTATATGATTGATTGTTAATCGATGTCTAAAAACCAATAATATTGTACAACTCTTTACGTCTATGTCTGCTCTCACTTCAAAACACACAAACACTTAACTGTCCTCTAAACTGAATGAAACGTCCGAAACCCTTCCCCCGAACCCACTATCAGGTCGTCCCAAATTCCATTGGCCTCCCAGTGACTACCCGTCCAACACCGCTGTCGGCGCCAATGATAGTAGAACTACCGTACACTTCAACTCTAGTACCACTGATAATATAGTCGGCCCTCACATCCGAAACAATACCGGAGCTAATCGTAGAGAAAGACCGAAATCGTTTGGAGAATATTCCTCTCTATACGCCTCGACCGCCCACTCCTCTGCCCCCCACTCGGCCTCCACTCCCCCACAGACCTACTCTTACTCTTACACTTGCAATACTTCATCGCACGTACCGTACAGTCCCTACCGATCGCCGGCCACCGTAGACGACGACCGTAACAGAGCCTCACATTTATCGTCTTTTCCCCCAAACGGCACCCCCTCTATAGCCACTTACGCCACTAGCTTTGCACAGCACTCGTCACAACAACAACAGTCCCAAACCAAAGTCCCGCCACAACCGCCGGTCACAGCACCTAAACCGCAGATTAATAGTAGTAATTGGACACCAGGTTCTTCGCCGTACGCCCTGTCGGCCACGATTCCCGGTCCCGGACAGTCGTCCATCGCTCCGGGCTCGCGATCCGCGCCCCGTCGTGGTAGAGGTCTCTTGAAGGCACCCATCACTGGCTCGAGTATTCCCATATGCGGATCATGTGGGACACCCGTTCGGTAATTATAACATAACATGGTCATTTATCAATTGTACGCCATATTAATGTTTGCAATCATTAATTGCATTCAACAACCATTCAGTGGCCCATTCATAGTGGCGCTCAACAAGACATGGTGTCCGCATCACTTCACGTGCGCTAACAGTCAATGCAATCGCGCACTCGAAGAGATCGGTTTCGTCGAAGAACAGGGAAAACTCTACTGCGAGACCTGCTATGAGGCATATCTGGCGCCCATCTGTTCAAAATGTCGCCAACGGATCAAAGGGGTCGGTATATNAACAAGACATGGTGTCCGCATCACTTCACGTGCGCTAACAGTCAATGCAATCGCGCACTCGAAGAGATCGGTTTCGTCGAAGAACAGGGAAAACTCTACTGCGAGACCTGCTATGAGGCATATCTGGCGCCCATCTGTTCAAAATGTCGCCAACGGATCAAAGGGGTCGGTATATCAACGACTCATCACTTACTCAATCCTATAATCAATGGCTATATCTCAATGCATAGGACTGTCTGACGGCGCTCGAGAAGCAGTGGCATCCGGAGTGTTTCAGCTGCGGCTACTGTAAGCAGCCGTTCGGCAACAGTAGCTTCTATTTGGAGGACAGCGTTCCCTACTGTGAGAAAGACTGGAACGAACTCTTCACCACGAAGTGTGTCGGCTGTGGTCTGGCCATAGAGGCCGGCGACCGTTGGGTCGAGGCTCTCAACCAGAACTATCACTCCAACTGTTTCATGTGCACCGTTTGTCGCGCCAATCTCGAGGGCCAGAGCTTCTACGCCAAAGGGGGCCGACCTTTCTGTAAAGCACACGCCCGATAGACAGCCCACACACCCCACGCCTGGTATGGCCTGCGATGGTCTGATGAGTCATACATATCCGGTGGGCTAACCGGTATTCTAAGGTAACAGAAAACAAAAGAAGAAGAAGACGTAACAAAATAGAGAAGACAACAAAACAAAAGACCAGTCGTCAAACACCGGTTGCGACACGTGAGGGCTGCGGCGCCACAACACCTACTATTGTTAGTCTATACACGAAAATCGTTTACCGGATTATTTATCAAATTATTTAATAGATAATTAAATTTAAATTCTCAAATTACACGAAACTATTGTTTTATTTATAAATTAAATTACAAAATCTATTATTATATGAATTCTTTATTGTGTTAAACTATTTCTATAGACGACTCTCTAAATGATAATCAAAAAACAATAATAAAAAGCGTTTAAATCTATAATCAATTATAATTGAATTCATTTTGTTTTTCAATTGCAATGCAATCCAAATGTCATAATAGGAAATATAAATGCTATGAAACCCGACGAACGACTATAAGACGGGCCGACCGGTGATGACTGCGAGCGATGCCGACGGCCGTCATTAACTCGGTTGCGGCCATCGTTTCAATAAGACATTCATCTGATCTTTAGACAGTCTCTTCTGTCCCGGTTCTAGTTTAATGTCATCCGTGTTCGCAGTCTTCGCATTCCTGTCCACCTGTTTGGCCGACAAATAAACACAATTAGTTATAACACAAACTATTGGATCAAATTCTGTGATAGTTATCATTCAGGCATTGAAGTTAAGATCAAGTGATACGTGTAATACTGACCACATATTTATCATAACAGGACTGAAAGGCGTTGATCTGTGGACTGCACTTGTTTTGGTCGAATTCATTCTCCTTAAAACACGTCAACATATCCATCATCTGAGGAATACAGACCACATCTATGGCAAAGAGACAATGGGATCACGTGTTAATACCGGTGACAATCGTTATTCAAGTATATATCATATGGTCTAAACATTGAGGACAGTGTCTATGACCAGCACGTGGTGGTGAAGATGTATTGTCTATTGTCTACACACCTGATGCCACTTTGGTCCCGGAGGTCACCTCATTCCTCAAGACCATGGGTTTGTCGCCCTTGAATCGTGTGACGGGTCGGGCGGGTCTTCGGCCGTTTCGCATCCATTTGTTCCAGTAGTTGACTCGAGTTAACTGCATGTCACGCCTCTATGCCTTGGATCCAATGATCACTCAATACAAGAAGTTATTCGCGGATCAAATGAATGATAAAAATGTGTTTATTTTGTATGAATTGATGTGAAAAATGTGCCAAAACTAGTGCTGAAAGCGATATCTATTGGATATGTATTGCAAACACACAATACGTTTGGCAACAAAAACATTGCATTACTTTTTGTTATTGTATTTTGTAATGAATTTTTCAAAACTTTTTTATTTATAAATAGTTTTTAATTTAGTTTTTATGACTTTTAATCACCGATTGATTTGATTAAACGTTTGCTTTAAAACGTGATTTAGTGTTGATTTTAGTGTTGTTTTTGTAAGTTTTTCATTGATTTATATCTCAAACTGACAGTTGTTTTCATGAAAAACACATTTATTTTTGAATGCATTTCACAATCGCTTAACGAAAACCATTTGTCTCTTTAATTAATCACAT